TGAGCTTGCAATGAAGCTCATGCTTCGAAAAATACCCAAGCAATTGCTAAGTAATCAAAAGAGGGAATGAACCACAGAGGGTCGTTAAACAGTGCCTCCCAAATTCGCATTGCTATGACAATCACTGATGTCCATGTTAAGAAGACCATTGTCTAGGCATCCCTAAGATTTCATGCTAGCCATCTCCAGCAGTGTCATCTGGAAGTCTTTCAATTGTACTGGTCCCCTAGATGAGTCTATTAATGGGATTTGGGGGAAATATCACCACAAGTGGTGGTTTATATAATCCTCACAGTATTTACTTTCTGGCTTCTGAAGCAGAAACTTAGGGAGACCACATCAAAGTAAGTACCCAGACTCCTGTTGTCTCGGGGAAACCTGTTCCTTTACTGTAGAATCATTTTAGAGAAAATTCGTTCTTTTTGTTGTTACTCAAAAGACACTTCCGGTAAACAGCCCAGCAGTGGGGATGCCAATGGTTTTTGATACACTCAGGTGGATTTTCCAAAGATTTAATTATAGATTCTGTGTGAGCATCACCCAAAGAGGGAAAACAGTATTATTTAAGCAACCATCCCTTATTGTCTAAATATCAGCCCTGGAATATTCTAAATGTTGGCTTTCATTTGCATATGCTTAATGGAGTTTGGGGATATTGACAGATTTCCAAGATTTCCTTCAGCTACCTCGACCCCCCTCAGTCCTCACGATAAACCCTTAGGGTTGGTAAATATCTTCAAAGTAACGCTTGGTATATTTGACGGAGTTTGGTTAATACGTCTTTCTCTGTTTAACTTGTTGCATGCACTGTGGCCTGACACTGAATTTCTTAACAGACAAGAGGTTTGCAAGTGTGCAAGCCTTCTGTGCCTGGGGAGAAAGGGTGAACTTTTGCCTCTGTAATAAGATATGCTCCAATTACCAACTTTAGCAATTTAATACAGTTGAATAATAACTAAATGAGACACTGTGTCACTCAGTCATTATTCAAGCTTCTGTTGGGGATGAAATGAGGGGTTGCCGGAGGTCACCCTACTCCTGGGGTGACCTCAGTCTTAGAAACTGACTCTGAGAAATTTCTAAAAAAAAAAAAATTACAAAAATATTTTAAAAATTCCAGAAAGTACGGCTCAAACTATATTTTATAAAGTAGGGCTATATAGTATCATAAAGAGCTCATTTGATCTTTTTTAAATGGCAGAGTATTTTGTGTATTTGAAAAGTGTGATGTGGAATAAAACAATCGCCTAGATATTTGACTTACTACGTGCTTTGTGAATGTAGTGATCCAGAGGACTTTGCTTCCCTATTGGCCACAGTTATGTGCACATTTCTCCTCATCCTACCTTGCAGGTGCCCTCATAGAAACACTCCAGGATCCAGTACAAGGTTTATATATTTGCATCTTGCTCTGATATGCATAAGACTCATCCATGGGGAATTATTTATTCATGTGTGAAGCTTAGAGAAGCCAGGAGTTTCTATGGTCTTGATTTAGTCTCAGGTTTCGTTGCTGGTTTTTGCTTTTTCAGTTGTACTAAAGGGCCAAATTTTTGTTACAGCTGGGACTAAGACTTTTCGGAAAATAAAATGATCAATTTATGTACTTAGAATACATAAATTGTTGTGTCCTAGAGTCATGACAGAGAGAATGTGGCCATTCAGGAAGGTCGCCTGTCCCTGTGGCATGAAAAGAGGGTCATCTAATTTCATGAGTATGACAGAGGCAACTCTCAGGAAAGACATGGCATTTTGTCCACAATATCCATGTCCTGATCCCACAACCCCACAACCCCAACCCCTCAACCCCACACCCTTATTTAATTTCCTGGGTGAACATTCCTACTAAAGTAGCCATAGATGCTAAATGACCTCATACCTTCAAGTCTTAGCAGGATCACACCTGCTTCCCAGACCAGGGGCTTCTTGATGCCAAGAGGATTCAGAACACTTGACAAACAGCTCTAGAAAGAGTTCTACAAAGTGCTGGAAGTCCAAAGAGATGTGGACCCCACTGACAGAGGCCCCACCTCTTCCTCCCAACCCCCAGATGATGTCATTCCCCAGGGTTTCATTTTAAAGCCACTGACTGGGTTAAGGAAACAAGCCACAGGCCCATATGATCTCTAAGTCTGAGACTTTCATGGCATTAAAGCATCTTTACAATTGCTGACGAGCTCTGGCAGTGGATGTTCCTGATTGTCAGTTTTTTGTTTTTGATTTTTAAATCCCTTTATAGCATTCTGATACAGGTGCTTATAAACAGGTCTGTTAATGGTGTAAAAGATGTATCCTTAGGCTGGTGTGCCCACTCAGTAATATGGTCCCTAAAAGTCACCCATAAACATATCTTTTTCCCGCCAACACAGATCGAAGTGCCTAAAGCACCAATTTAAAAATAATAATTAAAAAATGTGTACAGACCTTGTCCTGGTTCCCTTTCTACTGCTGTGATAAAACTCCATGACAAAAACCTATTTAGGGGCAGAAGGGTTTTACTAGGCTTACAATTCCAAGATACAGTCTGCCATAGCAAGGAAGTCGAGGGACAGTATCTAAGAGCAGCCAATCATATCCCCAGACAAAACAGAGAAAAATAATGCATGTGCGTTCACTTGCCTGTTTGCTTCTGTTCAGCTCAGATCTCTCCACTCTTACAGAGTTTGGGGCCCTCCTGTCTATGGAATGGTGCCCGTACTCAGCTACCCACATGGGACTGAGTCTTCCCGTATCAATTAAAGTAATTAAGACAATCACTCATAGACATGCCTACAGTCAAGCTCAATAAAGAAAATCTGTTTTTCCAGGTGATGAAGGTGGTGCTAAGTTGATGAATCTAACAATGCCAGGCACACAGTGTATGCTGGGCACATAACGGCCTTGCCCGCCACCTCACTGCTCTCTCGCTTTCATCACTTCCTCCTCCTCTTAATTTCTTTCGTTCCCCTGATTTATTTTCACTCCCACTGAATCTATGCATACATGATTTTATGTGACTACAAAAGCATCCAGGTACCACAAAGAGAAAAACATTTAACAATATTTGTCTTCCTGAAACTGCTTTGATTCACGAAGTATAGTTATCTCCGGCTATATCCACTTTCCTGCAAACGGCATAACTCCATGCTTAGTTATGGCTGAAAAAATCCTTTTGACTGTTGTTGTGGTATTTTGCTTGTGTTTTAACAAATAAAGCTTGCCTGAAGATCAGAGCGCAGAGCTAAGCCACTAGAGGCCAGGCAGTGGTGGCACCCACCTTTAATCTCAGGATTTGGGGGACAGACAGATCTCTGTTAGTTCAAGGACACCCTGGTCTACATGAAATTGATCCAGTCTAAAAGAGAAACAAAGATCACCCAAAGGTGATCCCAGCACATGGAATCACACGCCTTTAATCCCAGCGCTAGGGAGGTGGAGACAGGAGTGTTATGTCTAGGTGGAGAGAGGAATTTAAGGGGGAATATAAGAATATAATATACAACAGAATGCACATGTTTATGGCATTTTCTTGTACTTCCCTGTTCTTGGACACACAGGCCAATTCCATAGCATAACTATTGTGAATCAGGCTGCAGTATGTATTGACGGGCAAGTGTCTATGACATTGTGGTGGTTTGAATGAGAATGTCCCCCATAGACTCACAGATTTGAATGCTTGGTCACTAGGGAGCGGTGCTACCTACAGGGATTAGGAGGTGTGGCCTTGTTGGAAGAAGCATGTCGCTGGGGTGGTCTTGGGGTTTCTAAAACTCAAGCCAGGCCCAGCATCTCTCTCCTTCCTACTACCTGTGGATCTAGATGCAGAATCTCAGCTCCCTTCCCAGCACCACGTCTGCCTATATTCTGCCGTGTTCCACACCATGATGGTAAAGAACTAAACCTCTGACACAATAAGTCAACCTCAATGAAAAGTTTTCTTTTATAAAAGTTGTCAGGGCCATGGTATGTCTTCACAACCTGCCCAAGACAGACATGTTGACTTGGTGGGGTTAATTTCTAAGAGGGATATAGCTTAGTTGGTATGATATCTATTTCTAGTTAATATGGTAGATCTATTTCTATTTTTTTGAGCAACATCTACACTGCTTTCTGTAGAGACTGACTAGTTTACATTTTTCACCAGTGGTGAATAACGGCTCCCTTCTGTCACCTGGTTTTGCGGTGGTGGTAGTGGGCTTTCTTTATAGCTAAGTACTAAATCCCTTCTACCAAGACTCTGGTTATATGTTTCAGAGCAGAGAGCTCTCTCTTTGCTCTGGAGAGAAATTCAGATTTGCCTCAGAGTTCAGCTCAGAGGACAGTATTACTACACTAACTGGCTCTGGCCTAAGGGACATTCGGCATTGTTTCGGTGGAACAAATGTCCTCTCTTTACTGACCTTGGCCACCTGTGAACTGGAGAACTGAAATGTTGGAGAGCACAGATAGACCACCCCATGATGGAACTGCCCAAAGAGACCCTAAGATCCTCTGGAAGTCTCTATCAGCACCACAGACCCCTTCAAAAGGTTTAGTGATGAGTTTATTACCATCTTCACCTATGTTCAACTTATTGCCTTCCTTGTCTTCTCTACATCATGTAGAACCTCTAAAATCAGCAGCAACCGAAGTTCCTCATTCCAAATCATTCCATTCTGTCATTCCTAGGGTCATCCTCAGCACTTGTTTCCTATTTTATAGACATCAAGCTTATTATGATCCAGCCTATCATAGCTGATAATTCGGGCAGAATACATGCCTGCTCATGCAACTCCGACTAGGGCCCACCAGGAAGACCTGTCCCTATAGGAGGCCCTTGTTCTGGTTCTGGGCCAGCTTCATCAATTGCTCAACTGGGCACCATAAGAAACACATGACTGCCATCCACATAGACAAAGATGGAAAATATGAGCCATCCGTTTGGCAATAATGTTGGCATCTTCCTCCCTGCGTGTTGCCAAGGCCTGACCAGAAAGATCTTGGCCTGCTTACTGCCTGGTGTGGTCAAACCCAGACACAGGGTGGCTCAGGTCACGGTGTGTAGAACAGCTGCGAGGGAATCTACACATCCAGGTGAAGACAAAAGCAGGTTCCACCTTTCCCAACAGCCCATGCCCGTGAGACAGGAACTAGAGTGAAGTCCAGAAAACCCTCATGGAATTAGGTAAGTTTTGTTTGTTTGTTTGTTTGTTTTAACATATAAATTGCCTCAAAATAGACATTATATTCCGTTTTTTTATAGTTTTATTCACATAAAAAAGAATAGAATTTTTTTTTCTGTCCACATAAAACATGTGCCACCTTTTTGAATGGGGAAAGCAGATAAATAGCTAATAAATGTTAAGTAAATAAATAAGGACATATGCTATGTTAAAGAGGAAACCATAGGTCCTTAGCCACTATGGAATATTAGTTCAGCAGCCCAAATGATTTCAAAAGTAGGAGTCCAGGAAGAAAACCCAGATCACACATATCTGCTTATCTCATTTACCCTCCCTGAAAAACCCTCCTTCGACTTAAAGTCTTATTTTCCTTATTCTGCGAATGAGGAAAGTGAGGCTGCCTGCGGGTTGTTGAAGATCACAATGAGTAAGTGACTAAGTTAGAAATTCATCATGGTATGCCAGACACCAAAGCTCGGGACTGTCAGACTGTCACTGATTTGAGCAACTGTCTTCTCACTGCAGTGTACACGCAGGGACATTTAACAGCATTCCAAGATGATGTCACCGGGGAGAGCTCGGTCAAGTTACCATTGAAGAAGTACTCTCATCCATTTCCCAAAACTCAGAGTTGAAAGGTGAGTTTTGTAATCGCTTCCCTTTTTAATAGCTACTTTATTTTAAGCGCCCAGCATAGTGATGCAACGAAGCAGGGGTGAGCTTGGTTTGAAGACTTTCTGATTTTTTGGGAAGTATTCTTTCTTGAATAAACTTTGAGTCTCCAAGAAAAGTCCTCAAGATAGTCAGCCAGATGTTCACAGATTCATGTGTAGACATACACACACACACACACACACACACACACACACACAGGAACACAGATAGGTATTCAGGAATACTTAACAGGGCATGAGCTAGGTTTAAAGAGCTTCTGATCTTCTGGGAAGCATTTCACACTTATAAGTTTTGAGTCTCCAAAGAAATTCTTCAAGATGGTCATTCAGATGCCCATAAACATACATGTACGCATATGCTTACATATTAGAACGTAAGATTTGTGTTCATGGACATATAGGCCTGTGAGTGCATACATAAATAGACACAAGCACATATGTGTTGGAAGAAATGGGCATGGTACACACACATGGTAAGCACATGTATAGGGATATGCATTCAGAAACACATGACATGGATACACATGCATATAGGAATACATGGGTGTGTGCACATGTGTATATAGGAAATAACAAGTCTAAGTATGTGTGTATACATAAACAGATAGCACAGAACACTTCTTGGACAGAGAACAGAGTGGGGACCTTTAAGAAGAAAGATCTTTCCAAATTATGGTTAGTGGTTGGAGGTACAGAAATTAATTCACAATGGATAGATGGGGAAAGAGAGACAGGATCTGACCAACCCAGCCACTACCTTGGCTCAGAATAAGGCCTTTGAGTTAACCCACCCCAGCATACACCAAATCTATGAACTGTTGGAACAGGTGAAGGGGGAGAATCTACAGATTCAAAACAGCAGGATCTCCATGCCATAGGACAACAGGATATCCAAGGGGAGTCCCAATGAGGGTGGTATAAGCAGAAACCAGAGACTTTGAGCCAGATCAATGACTTGAGGCAATGAACACTTGCAAGTAAAGAATAGACCTAAGGGTAAACTGTGTGACTCAATGGCCACACTGTAGCTTCTAGAATGAGATTTCCTCTTTCTTTCTTCCTTCTTCCTTCTTCCTTCTTCCTTCTTCCTTCTTCCTTCTTCCTTCTTCTTCTTCTTCTTCTTCTTCTTCTTCTTCTTCTTCTTCTTCTTCTTCTTCTTCTTCCTCCTCCTCCTCCTCCTCCTCCTTCTTCTTCTTCTTCTTCTTCTTCTCTTCCTCCTCCTCCTCCTCTTCTTCTCCTTCTCCTCCTTCTTCCTCCTCCCCATTTCTTTCTTTTCCTTCTGTTGCTTTATTTTTGTTTTTGTTTTGATTTGTTTATTTTGTTTGGTTTTGGTTTTTCTCTTAAGTTTGTTTTTTTTGGGGGGGGGAGATTGGAAGGGCAGAGGGCAAATGTGAGGAGACAGGGCCATAAGTGGGATTGAATGCATGATGTGAAATCCACAAAGAATCAATAAAATAAAGAAAAAGGAAGGAAGAGGCAGAGTTTACTTACGGCACAGTCAGAGTACTGTGACGAGTAACTCACTGTCTACTCTACCAAACCAGGGTGGGTTGATGGATGGGAAAGGAGAGAGGGTTCTGCTGGGCCTTCTCAGCTAATAGACAAATCACTTTTTCCCATAGTAGTTAAAGGTACCAGGAACTTCCTAAGAGGTGGGCTAGTGAGAGTTGTATTTTCTAGGGGTTCTGGTCAGATAGAGATATATTGTGACAGGCTGAGAGATTGCCCAGCCATTTACACAAGGAGTGAAGACATGAATTTGGATCTATGATACCCACAGCAAAACTAAACGTGCTCAAGTATGCCTGAAACCTTAGCATTGGGGGAGTAGAAATAGGTAGATTCCTGGAGTTCATTGGCCGGCCAATCTAGCCAATCAGTGAGTTCTGGGTTCAGTGAGAGACCCTGTCTCAAAAGATAGGATGGAGAGTACTAATGGAGGACCTTGTGTGCCAACCTCTGGTCTCTGCATGTATACATGAACATGTGCATCTGCACGTGCACACACACACACACATACACACAAAACACACACTATACACATGCAAAATATCTAATAAAATTTCTTTATGCCTCACCTTTAGCTCAACTATTTTTGTTTTAAACTGATATTTTTATCAAGTCCAAGCAGGTTCTCTTATTTTGCCTATTTTTAAAAAATTTTACCAAAAAGGAGGAACAGGGGGAGGGGGCAGCAGCGGATGTGTCTAGGGTTAGTGCTATGAAGAGAGATTGATGAAGTTCTGAAATACAGTATTTGCAGTGGGAGATGATGTGAGATTTCCCTCTATATTCTGTGAATACCATTGGTTAATAAAGGACTGTCTTGGGCCTGCAGGGGGCAGAATAGAGCTAGGTAGAGAAAACTAAACTGAATGCTGGAAGAAAGAAGGCAGAGTCGAGGAGAAGCCATATAGCCCCATCAGAGACAGACGCTGGAACTTTATCAGGTAAGCCACAGCCTTGTGGCAATACACAAATTAATAGAGATGGGTTAATTTAAGATATGAGTTAGCCAGAAATACACTTAAGCTATTGGCCAAACAGTATCGCAAATAATACAGTTACTGTGTGGTTATTTTGGGGCTGAGCAGCCAGGAACAAACAAACAGGCTCCTACAACAGGGAAAGAAAAACAAAGACTACAAGTATGAGCAGAGTGGATCCATTCGATGAATATAGAAGGAAGTCAGTGAAGAAAATTCTGGAATTTGGTGTGGAAATGTTTTGAGTGAGGATGACAGGGGAAAAAATGTCACGGTTGTAATTGTTTGCAGGATGACAGTGTGGAGATGCAGGTGCCACTCAATGTTCCGAGTGTCTCACACTACTGAGGTGACAAATCCCCTGATCTTCTATAACATCATCTACCTTCAGCTTGCAGAGATAGGGATGGACAGATTTACTTCTGGTGAGGGTGACTTTGTAGGGAGGGGCCTGGGAGTGTGAGAGTCTTAATTTCTGACAAAATGTGCAAGATGATAGGATTCAATTTATAAGGAATAAAAAAAATTAAAAAAACCAGCAACAGTACTAGAATTTGGTTAACTATAGCTTTCCATTGAAAAATGAAATTTCTCTCTAGAATCACACTCATTTTCCTAAAAAATAAATCGAAGTAAGGTGGTTTTTATTTACAAAATAAGTAGTTTTCTTTAATTTGTGTGTTTTATAAGTACATTAGGTAATTGACTGCATAGACATTTTAAAACTTGCTTTATCAATGGGTATAGTGGCACTCACCGGTAATCTCAGTACTCAAGGCATTGACAGTTCAGGGCCCACCCAGGCTTCATAATGAAACATTATCTCAAAGAAAAGAAAGAGAAGAGGAAGAAGAAGAAGTGGAGGAGGAAGAAGAAGAAATGAGGAGGAGAAAGGTGTTTCTAGAGCCTTACAAAAGAAGCCCTCAGAATTACACTGTATAAAGTCTTACACACTGGGCAACCAAGTCACCAGACTTTTCTTTTCAGCTCCTTCCTCTTAAGGGCCCCCAAATATTCTTTTTACTGAGTCAGTCCTAAAATCATTTTCATTATTTATCTTTACGGCAGAATTCTAATGGGGTGTGGATTATTTTGTCAAAGGGCTTTATAAGTGTCAGTTCCCTGAGTGCTTAGCTCCTATGTGTGCAGTCTTATTTGTCTCTGTGCACATCATTCTCATATATGACACTCCGATGAAAACCTTATTAATGTAACCAATCTCCTTAATATAGTGTATTAAGAACCCCACTGAATGTACGCAAAAAGCATAATTCCTTGAAAATAAGACTATGCAAGTAGTGTTTATTAATTATAGAGAGTCAGGTTAAAAATATATAAATACTTAATTTTGTTAATAAAATACAATCTACTAAGTTATTATGAATTATAGAGAGCTTAAGAGAAAAGCTCCTTGCACCAAGCAAATGCAGTACCCAAGAGCAGCAATGTTCCAAACAAGCAAACAAAAGTAGAAAATCATAGTCAATCTGCCCACAGCTCTCTATAAACTGAATCCTCAGTCTACTTAGCCTTGGGTTAATCATTTTAAATGCTTCAACTTCTCCAGAATTCTAGAAACCCTCATTCAGACAGGTGAACTTGAAGTTATTGGTACTCTGTCATCAGAAGCCTATATCCACAGTACCCAGTAGTGTGTTCTCTAGGGGGTCTCTGCCATGTCTCTTTTGTTGAAGATGAAACATTCTGGCTTGTAGCTGGCTGCAAGATCTTTAATAGAACATTGGATTAAAACAACAATAGAATGAGTGACAAAAGATTCAGGATGTCCATGGTTACAGGTCTGGACAAGTTTGTTGTAGAAATAATGCAAATGATGAAGAAATTTGGTTATATCTCTGACATGGCATTTTAAGATAATAACTGGAATCTGAACTGGCAATGCTCTATCAAGATTGATAGATGGTGACAAATTTCTAAGCATTTCATAAATTTCTACAAGAACTTGTATTTATTATTACATATCACAATTTTTACACTATATATTGTACATATTATATTAAATTATATTGTATATATAATAGATACAATATATTATATTGTATATATTTATACAATTATTATTGTACATTATGTTTATTATTATATATCATACATATATTATGTTTACCCAGGTGTTATCTGCTCTTATTCTGTGTTTCCCTTCCCCCAGCCCTTTTTGAAATGCCTGCACACATCTTGAAATGAACAGGGTTTGCTGAGAATCATGGGTGTGTCAGATCGCTGCTTTTGTCCATATATCTTGAGTAAGAAAGACAGTAATGTTTAGTTTTTCAGGGAAAGCAATGGCGGCCTCCTTGTTAGCATTAATTAAAGACTAACCTGACTATAATAGCATTATTGGCTTTCTTTGCTGTTAGATTTCCAACTGCAGTGCCCTGGAAGGATGTCTAGGCTCTGGGTCTCCTGGACTTCAGGGTCGTCTCCTTTTGGAATGCTTTCATCCGTCATTCAGTGGGGGCCTCGGCATGGGTGCCCACCCTCTGAACACCCTGCTCCACCTTCACCCAGTTTATCTTCAGAGGGAAGAGTTCTCCAAGTCTCCTCAGACTCTGAAAATCAGCTTTCACCTGGGCCATCTACAGGAAGATGGTACAGAGAAGAGCTAGGGGGAATATTAGTATTTTTTTTTTTACCCTTTGTTCTACATCTGATTTTCCCTCTTATTTTGTTTTAGGCCAATCTCGATGCTTTTTTAAAAAAATATTTTTCTTTCAAGTTGATCCTACCATATTGTTACTATGACATTTTTTTAGGATGAGAATTCTCTCAAAATCCTCTCGAACATAAAAACTTTTCTCCATTAAGGGATCTGTTGTTTGGTCTTGGACAATTTAAGGTCTCTAAAGGGACATCAGTCCTAAAATGTGACTGAAAAGCAACTAGCTTTTATGCCTTCATCATGGCCGCCAGAGGCATCCCCGAAAAGAGGCAGAAGATTCAACCCTCACAGCCTAAGGTTACTTCTACAGAGAGCAAAGAGCAGTGTCTGGCTGGTTTTCTGTCCACTTGACACTAGCTAGAGTTATCTTACAAGAGGGAACCACAATTGAGACAATGAATAAATAAGATTGGGTTATAGGCACGATCATGAGACATTTTCTTAATCAGTGACAGACTGATGTGGGAGAGCCCACCTCATTATGAATGGTGACATCCTTGGCACCAGAACAAAATGGGCTGAGCAAGCTATGAGGAGCAAACCAGTAAGGAGCACTCCTCCATGGCCTCTGCTTCAGTTCCTGCCTCCACCTTCCTGCTTTGAGTTCCTGTCCTGTGTCCCTTTGATGATGGACTGTGATGTGGAAGTGTAAGTTGAAATAAACCCTTTCCTCCCCAAATATCTTTTGGTCATGGTCTTATCACAGCAATAGAAACTCTAAGCAAGAAATAAACCAAGAAGGACAGTGAAGACTATCATTGTTACAGGAAGTAAGAATGATATTTGTGCAAACTAATATTAGAGTCCAAAAAATTGATGTCTTCTGTCCTGAATACAAGTAATACTATACAGACAAAGCAGGTTACGTTTAGAAATATGTCTCTGTGTAGGCATGTAACAATAATTAATGAGAAAAGAGGGCATAATTTGAAAGAGAACAAGGAGGACTATATGAGACGGTGTGCAGTGAGGAAAGAGGAGGAAATTAATTATGCAATTATAATCTAAAAAAATAAAAGAAAGAAAAGCCTGCTATGTCCACAACACTGGGCAGACAATGCCCAAATAAGACCTCCCAGCACTAGCAAGGCAGGAAGCAGGAAGTCACAAGGACCACACGAACAGGGTCCTATCATCTAGGCTTATGTGAACACCAGCTGGGCAGGGGAAGCCCACATTTATGCTCCCCTGACTGCAACTGTTTAAGCCCCTGCATGACCGCTGACCACTTCTCAGTGATGAACCCACAATCTGGACACACCAGCATGTGAAAGAACACATCCTCTCCCACTGGAATCCAGCCAAGCCCTCGGGGACAACACGAAACAGACAGGGAGGGCACTACGGCTGTCCTTAGGAGGGAAGGGATCTATAATAAGAGTGTCTAGAGCAAGTAAGACACTCTTATTATATACCAAGAACAGTGTTTCTATAGTGTCCCTGCTAGTTTGTGTCTTAGAAGAAAGCGAGAAGAAGGGGTTCCCACCACACCCACTTGGCTGGACCCAGCGCAAATGTCCGGGAATCTGACTGGTAAGATATTTATTTTTGTTGGCATGGTCAGAGATCTTGAGATCGCAGCTGTACTTTCCGGAAGAACAGAGACTCCAGACGTCCTAGACTTGTCACCAAATCCCAGAGAGAAAAATTTCTTTTCTTCCAATTTGAGTCTCATGGTCGGGGGTCTGATAATAATCAGACAACAGACTGATGACCAGGAAGAGGGACTGGGTTCCTTATGAACACCTGCAGAAGTACTCAGTGCTGTGTACCCTGACTCAGAACCTCAGGGCAGCTTTATACGCCAAGTAGAATGAAGGGACAGGGAACAAGATCACCAGTGGGAAGGTCTGGAAGGTTCTATTGGGTTTTTCATGTAGTTTGCCTCCCTGGCCTCTAGCAAAATTCCAAAATACTCCTGGAAATGGAGGCCAGTGACATCTGAAGCTCCGTAGTCCTTGTCAGCTAAGTCAAGTCCAGCTACCGGTTCTGTATTCTAGTCAACTGACAATTTTTTACTTTTAAATAACCTTTATTGCTACACTGAGAGTCTACCCATAGCCATATGAAACCAGAGACATGTGCATCCCAGGGACTTTTACAAAGGAAAACTGACCAAAGCCCTCTCGGTTAGGTTCTGAGGTAGACAATCTTCTAGAGACATGCCAGAGAACTTCAGGAAGGTTCGGTGACAGTCCTGGTGACAGAGAAATTTCTGGATAATGTAAATACACTACTGAGGTTATCAATAAGGTCCCTGTACAGACTGACATCACTTTGGGCCCAGCTCCAACCGCGTGAGCCATCTGTCTGTGCCACAGTGAAGCCTGGTGTCTGTTATAGATCCAAAGTCTGTGACCTGTCATCTAAAAACCATTGTGCAATATTTAGAATTAAGTAATACAAGGGCCACCAATTCTTCCCCCGACTTTGCCCTTCGCTTATTACAGACAGGAAAACGTGGATTGCTTATAATTTTGAGTCACAATCTGAATCTATAACTGCAAGGAAACTTTATTGCTGTTTGAAATATTTGGAAGAACATGTGAGGTTCAAAGTGCAAATTTCAACTGACAGCTTCTCATCTCTATTTCTTCATGGATTGTAAGAATTAATGCTATTTTTCTACAGCGAAAAATGCCTTCTGTCCACTAAAGTCACCTTTATAACTCCAGGAATTATGACATTATGGTATTATGAGCATGGTCAAAAACTCCTCCAAAAACCTGTGTCCCAAGCCTGTCCCTCAAACAATTCACTCACAACACACAGTGCAGAAGCAATTTTTTCATTGAAGATGAAAGAAAAAAAAAAACTAGGAAAGTAAAGTTTCTTACAATGGGCATTGTGGGTGTGGAGCTCTTTTGCCTGCATGGATACTTGAGATCAAGAGCACAAAAGGGTAACAAATCAGCGAGAAGGGTCCAGGGGTTGTGCGAAGGTTTGACTCCATCGGCTCAAACCTTGGATATTAGTGACTCAAATGCTGGCTCCTGTGATATCATTAAAATCTATATTGCTAGTTTTGGGTGGAGGAGGTCCTGCACATTGAAGATGTCCCCTGGAATGGACTTCCACCCCTACCTCCAGTCAAGACTATCAGAGATGTTTCCAGACATTGCTGAATGTCCCCCCTAAAGAGGCAGAGTCAGCATCTTACACATAATGGGGTACACTGATTTGGCAGAGTCTGAAAAGAGCCTAAAAAAGGAGAGAGGAAAGTTGGTAATATTTTTGAAATTTTGAAGATGGGTACTCCAATATGCATCTTTTAGTGCAGGAGCAGAGGGGTGCACTTAGGTTGGGTGACGATTGTAATGGTTAGAGTTTTTACAGGATTGCTGGACCCAGCAAGATAAAGATTTTAAGGCAAGGTGGCTAGAAGATGCTCAAACCAATAGAAAAATTTTCCATGATGCCTTTTGTCAAGGAATCAATGGATTTTATGGAAGTTTCTGGAATGACCATGAAACAACTATTACCTTTCTGAGTAAGGTTTTTCTGGACAGTAAACCTGTACTAATGCACGAGCTGGAAGTCGTATACCTATGAGGCTATTAAATTTAAGATCTCAGCGGTTCCTCGATCAGAAGTTTCACCTTTGCCTTTTGGCACACTACTGCTATATGGCTACGGAGCCCCTGTTCCAGGAGTCCAGCCAGGCTTTTTCATACTACGAACTTGTGGCATGATTTGTGCAAGCGTACACTAGGTCCAAACTCCAGTTTCTCAGGAACATATTGAAGTTGTTAACGTCTTCCTTTGCAGAAGTGCTGGAGCTGGAATGAAACGATGCATGTCTAATATCCTCATAGCACACATGTTACCTGAGCATAAATAAACTGCTCAAAACTAAGAGAGTGTGTCTCAGCAGTGGGATACCTGTACTTAGGCCGTCACACCTTTGGAATGTGCGACCCTCGTTCTCCTGCAAGAGAACATTGGATTTTTTCTGGAAAAGGATGTTGGAGTGTTTTCTATGCACCCTAGAAATTATGAAATGAGAGGTGCCTCTGCCCCGCAAATTCTTCCTTTCACATCCCTGACCGTGTTGTTCTTTTACCTCTGAGATGTGTGGGGTGATGTGGGTTGGAGTTTGGCAATGACGCTGCTATAATGGTGGAGGAATCGTGAGAGGGCTGTGGCACCAGCTTGGAGAGGGTTGAGCCCTGACAACCATCCCCTAGAATGCCCATTCATCTCTTCAGGAGGTCTTCAAAGCAATGTCCTCTCTTGGAAGCATGACCTTGAATCTATCACACAGTTGGATTCTGGTTTCTCTTTCCTAAATCTCCAAACAGAGCATCTCCTTCCTACGAAGAGTCTCTCCTCCTATAGGCATTTTCTCAATCCTCACCCTGTGAGGTGGATGCTATGTTGAGAAATCTAGACTCTAACTTGCTGAGTCGACCCAACCTATTCATATACGGAAGCCACAGTTAAAATTTAATCTGTCTTCTGGGTTCCAAAGTTGCTGATTCCCCTACTATAACATGCTACTACCAACTAGTCCTCAAAACAACAACAACCAGAAAAGCCCCCAAGATAAAGCAACAAACACATATAGCCATGTTTTACATAGACTGGGTCCACGTGCAGCAATTTTGATATACGGGCAAGGCATACATAATCTTTTTTTTTTTTTTTGATAGCAGCTTTTTTATTGGTTACAAAAACCTAAGCCCATATACAAAATTAGGAACACGTTTAGATGCCTCTTTTGAAAGAACATTTTAGTTATTTTTAAACTGAGTTTAAAAAAAATAAAAACAATGCAATTTTAAAACACTGTTTTGAAAACTTAAAAGTGCAGCAATACACTCAGTTCCTTTGTCTACGAAATGGTGCGATTCCAATTCAGGCCTGGTAAGGACACGGCAAACTGAATCAAGCAGACGCACAAGTCTGCACTGCTTGATGCTACTGTTACTTAAAGGTTAGTTTAAGGCATACATAATCTTATGCTGTGTTTTGAATGGGAAACATTCCCCAGAGTCTCATGTATTTGACTATTTAGTCGCTGGTTCGTGGTGCTCTTTGAGGAAGTTGCAGAACCTTTAAGTCGCAGCCATAGATTCCTCCTGGAGGATTTATATTACTCAGGGGTGGGGGGTGGGCTTAAAGACTTCATAGCCTGGATTCACTTCCGGTTCTCTTACTGCTGAGAATGTGACCTTTTCGATTCCCGCTCCTGCCACCTGCTGCCAAGCTTCCCCTGCCATTACGGAATCTCCCTTTGATCCAGAAGCCAAAGTAAACTCTTCCTTCCATAAGTCACCGTTGGTCACGGTGTCTTATCACAGCAACAGAAATGAACTCACGCATCTCGCGAAGGTGTTTCTCTAGCCTGGCCATAGAGTGGCACAGAAGCAGGCAACCATCCCGGAAACCACACTGCCAGTCCAGTTTGTCTAATGCTAACAAAATAAATGAGCTAGACCCACCCATTGGTTGATAATGGACTGCCTTTGATGGCATTGGGAGAAAGAAAAACACAAGCTATCCTTTCCACTAAAGCAGTCTTAGAGCTCTCCCAGTTTCTTTGGTAATGTTTAAATAGCAAAGGTTATCAGAAAAAAAGGTAATGCTTCAGCAGAATTTTGCTGCCAAAATTACAGATGGGGCGTGGTAATTAAACATCTTAGAAAAGTCTCTCACACCGTGGGCTTTC